CTCGATAATTCATATGTTTGGGGGGCACTGCAGCCATCACTGGGTACTGAATGCTGCTGAGATGTAAGCTTCCCAAGGGCCGAGCCTGTGTGGTTTCCACCATGGTCCCACAGTGGTGCATAGAATATGCACAATAAACCTGAGAGCCCTTGGCAGCACCTCCCACTCCCTCCCCAGTGAAGTCCCATGGCTCCTATCTCCTTAATACCCCTTAGCCCACCCTCTCACATCCGCTGAGTTCTGCATTCCAGACCTCAAGTTCTCAGGGCTCACCTTTCCAGCCCACTGTGCCCCCCATGAGGCCCTAATTCTTTAGCACAGCTCACATGACCTGCACTCATACTGGCCAGCATCTGGCACTTCACACACATTTAGTAAGGACTGAAGAACATACTCTGGGGACACACCAGTGGAAGGGACAGGAGAGAGATGGGCAGTCTTGTGGTGTAGAGCTGCTGAGGCCTGGCATGCTGGGAGGACTCTGCTGGCCTTACAGTGCCCAGAGAACATGGACAGGGAGATGCCAGGGCTGCTTATGGAGAGGTCAGCTGTGGTCACCAAGACTGACCAGAAGCAAAGCTAAGCCCGGCTGCTCACTAGCAAGACAGACCCGAGTCTCTATTTATTCAACCCTAAGATGGTCACAAAACAAACTGTGCAGGGCTTCTATGAGGATTAGAGGGTGTGTAGAGCCCTTCCCACCAGGCCTGGGAGGAAGTAGTTGTTTTTCTTCTTGCTGTACTCCGTGTTAACCACCCTCTTCCCAATCTTATCCACCAACCCAGCCCTACCAACTGCGTGCACACTAAAGACTTGTGCTTTCCCTCTCCACTGTGGAAGTAATTATTTACTGAGGACAGTGGCATGATTAGTTTTCATTCTCTTTCTAGCAACCTTCCCTAAGGAAATGATAGACTGACTATTCTTAAGGATGAATCACCCTTAACAACCAAATTAACCCGATTAGCTGAATGTAACACTACTCTGCTCATGTGGCCCACTGCCCTCTCCTGAACAGCCTGCGATGAGGTGACAAACTCGGATGCTCACTGTCAGCATTCTTTCCAGGAGGCAGCCCCTAGTCTCTTCCTGCTGGAGAGCAAGCTGACCTCAGGCCTAAAGTCTGCCTTGCTTTACTGAGGGCAACCCCAGCACAAAAGCTGGCAGCTTTTCTGAACTTCACCATGCAAGTGAAGACAATGACCACCGGCTCTCAAGCCCCTCCTCGCTTTTTCACTTGAGTCACTCACTATGCAATAACAAACACACATCACTTGATCACTGTATGTTGATCACTTTGCCCTAAGACGTATCATGTAATCGGTCCCTCTTCTCTAGAACCTCTTTAGTTCTTCAAACTTGGACAGAATGCTTCAATAGGTCACTAATAAAAATGTTGTACAGTCACACTAGTTCACTTGGCAGGGCCCTCTGGGTCCAGGTGCTGAGAGGAGCCTCTCTGTACCCTACCCATCACCTGCTTCCCCCTGCCTCTCTGGGGGCCCCTGGTTGGGCACCAGTCCACCTGCAAATACCTCGAGGGGGAGGGGAAGGGATGGGGATGGGTTAACAGCTGTTTTCTTTCATTGGAACTGGAATAGGGATCATGTCCTACTATACCTTCCCAGAGAGGAGGGGGCACACGGGGATCGAACTCCTGTACAGGCCACCACCACTGTCAGTCATCACATTGAGTTCACCTCCCTCAAGAATTTGGATAAATTCAGGTTGGAGCTGCAGGTATGCAGTCCTCAGTGTCACAGAAAAGAGATTCACTGATGACTGATCTCTCCATTCAAAAGCATGCAGTCTTAATGTACAGTGATGAGAAACTTATTTTATGATCTTTTCATTGATTGAAAACAAAAAAAAATCGAACTAGTTCAGAGATGGCAATTCAGTGCTACAGATTTTTTTTTAATTAGTTGTCAATTTTATAAGTTGGGCATTCACACTGTCGAGATTTCAGAATGTTCAGAAAAGCTGCCAGCTTTTGTGCTGGGGTTGCCCTCAGTAAAGCAAGGCAGACTTTAGGCCTGAGGTCAGCTTGCTCTCCAGCAGGAAGAGACTTTAAACAGATTTAGTATCCTGGGTCTGCATTCTTACAAAATCACCCATGTTGGGGTGTGTAACCCCCAGGACTTGAGCGAGGGAAACAGTAAAGCAAAGATCCAAACTGTCAGGCAGTTCAATTAGTAAGATCAGTAAGGCAGCCAGATGGTCCACCTTCCTATCTGCTTATTAACTGGAAAACAAACAGGTAAAATGGCAAAGAACCACTTCAGTCTCTGATCAGGTGTCCAAAGAATTCTACAAGACCTAAGTCTCCATTGTTATGGGATGCATTTGTGGTTGTGAATTTCTTGCAATAATACCTGACCTTTCAAGGAATAAAAAGACTAGCATTTACAACTACGGAAGGAGATGAAACAGAACTAGAGAGGTCAGAAGCCAGTCCTACACTCCAGCTCCTACTCTCCCCATTCTGTGGCAATGAACAGGTACCGCCTCTGCTGTTCCTACTGATCCACCCAAATCACTGAGGAACAGCATGTGGTTAGCACCACCAGGGACAGAAAGACCTGTGAAAAAGGAGCCATTGTTGGAAAAAGCAAGAAACCAAATCTCCACTTCAACTGGAGCTGACTATATTAATTATGGTCCATCCTTATGACCAAATATTATGCAGCCATTAACAAGAATGAGGTACAATTACATATACTAACATGCAACAATCTCCTCAGAAAATAGCAGATGAGAAAGCACAGTGCAGTGCAGCCTGCACAGCACACTACTATTAACCTGAAAAGGAAGACGGGGCTGGGGTGCAGCCTAGTGGCAAAAAATGTGTTCAGCATGTGCAAGGTCCCAGTTTCTGTCTGCAGCGCCAACGTGCGCGTGCACACACACACATGAAAAGGAGGACAGGGTATGAATGTGTGCATATAAATATATCCTTCTATACACAGCATATCTGTTAAAGCATATACATATGCAAGAAACTGGTTATGAAATTGGAGAGCTGAGGTAAATGAAGAATCACAGTTTACTTTTTCATGATTTAACTATCTGTATATAGCACATTTCTAAACCGTTTTCACAAGAAAAATGGAGACAATATCAAAGTACTCTAATTTAACCCCAAGTCTACATTACCAATGTGGTGGACCAGGGGAAAAGCCAGCTACTAAAGAGGACTTCTGAGTAGAAGCAGATCCTAATGTTCCTTCTACCTCAGTATTCAGCCAGTGGTGCCTGTACCTGAAAATGTGTGAAACGGCACAATTTCAGATGCCTGCAGCTCCATCTCTCACACCTCCATACCCTTCTGCAAGAGGATCCACTCACCTGAGGGCAATGTGGGACATCGAAGAGGCCACTTTTCCATCGTCCCAGTAACTTGTGAAGCAACTAAGTATGCATGGGAAGCAGATGTGCAGAAGAACTCTGAGTTAGTTCCCAACCACTAGGGCTAAAGTTCACTTTCAGAAAAAAGCCCCGACAAGGAATTGTATCATCATTTACACAGTTCTCACAAGCCGAAAGTACTTTACCTTCAACTTTACTTTACAAAGCAGATGAATTTTTAAATCTATAAATTTTAATAGTATGTCGCTGAGTTCCTGATAATACATAACAGTTTCTTAACAGAACATCGGAGTATTGCAACACTTTATTAGAGTATTGGCTTTGAATTAGTAGCTGAAGTAACAATTGCAAGAAACCAGATTAGGTGTACTGCATAATACTCATACTTGATTTATTGACATTACTTAGCAATTTATTGGACGAAAGTCAAACTTTTTGTTTTTTATTAAGCACATTCCACAGTACAAAGCTGTCATGAATAATATCTGTACAATTTAACAGTTTCAATAGCTGTTCAGACACAAATTTATTTCAAACAGATAATTGGCAAACATAATTAATTACAAGTTAGAATTAGACTATCCCAGTGCTTTAAAACATTAATATAGCAGTAATTTACAGTTGCTCAATTATGGTTAGCAAAATAAAGTCCAGAGTACGGCTGGGAATTACTACTGTAATCCCAGAAAGTCAGAATTCCTTGGGTGCCAAAGTCCCCTGCGATAATTTAGTAGGCACAATTCAAAGGTTGTGTGCATATTCAAAGGCCAGGGCTTCCCAAGGAACAAGAGGATCTTCTATATTAAACATGCAAAAAAAAAAAAAAATCCATTCGTTCAGAAATCGCCTCTGCCCCTCCCCGGGCTTTCCTAGCCAGTTTGACATAAAAGCTGTAACTTGAAGAGCGGTCAGAGTCAAGTCACCTTCACAACCACTGTCAGGCTTACAGCATCCACCTTATGAATGGAGGTTTAATTTTTACACTTTTGAGACTCAACCTCGCAAAAACAGAAATTAGTAAGATGTGAGCAAGAAGGATATATTTAAGAAACACTAAAAAGGCAAAAGAAAACTAAAAAGCAAAACCAGCTCAACAAACAAACCACATACACACACATTGATCCCCACACCCTTCTCAACGCAAAGGGCAAAGGACGGACAGAGCCCAGGGGCCTTTCCTAGGAGTAGAGTGTGCTTCTTCTGGAAGAGGGTGTGTTCACAGGAGGTGGCTTATTGGTCCTTAAAAACGGGATTGACATTCCTTGATCTTTGGAAACAATGGCGAGGGGCAAATCAAAACCTAATACTGAAGGGGAAAAAGGAATGTTGACCAAATGCAACATCCTTCCCATGCATGATCAAAGTAACAGTGCTATTCTAGGCTCAGGCTGCAGAGCACTTGAGAGCTTTGAGAGCCTGCAGGGTCCTTAGCAACAGGTAAGAGCAGAGCTGACTGGATGGGACTGCTGGGGCTGGGCTTAGCCCCACTCAGGAGAGCCCCGCCCTCCACACGGCCCCCAGAGCAGCCTGACCTGAGCTATAGGCTCCAGCACACCACTGGGCCCTGTAGCCCGTGAGAGAGCCAGGCCGGGACCCAAGTGGGAGACTCTGTCTATAGGACCTTCTCATTCTTCTCTTCTCAGGGTTACAACTTCACAGAATGACGGCTTTTGACAGTGAAGCCGAATGAATACTATGGGAAGTGACCACTAGTACTCAGAGTATTTATGAGGAAAATAAAAAAATTAAGGTACCTCTCTATTGCATATCCTACACAACAAATAAAACACTCCTGTGTTAAACTTTAGAAGTTAGATTTTAAAACAAGATTCCCATTAAAAACCACACACACACACACACACACACACACACACACACGACAGTGACAAAATAAAAACACCGTATGAATACTGCAGAAAGGGTTCTAGGTCATCCATATCAACCCTGGTAACAGGTTTTTGAGCCCAGCCCATAGCTAAGTGTGAACACACTCTGTATTAGTGTCTCAGGCACAGGGGGCCCGACTGCAGCAACCTTGAGGTTAAACTGTTATGTACATTATATCTACATGCGGATACAGTATTTTAAATTAGGAGGCAAGCACATGGATAAAGGTGTTATTCTACCAAATATCAGGAGATGGTTGGGAGCAGAGAAGAGTTAATAAAAGAAAAGAGCTATATTACCTGGGGAGAGATAATATAACTGGTTGATAGTTCTTTAAATTAAAAGAAACTAGTACAGAAAGAAAGCGTAATCCAAAATATATTCCTAAAACAATCCAGAGATTTTTCCATTGTCCACCATGTATATTCCTACTATAAGTCAAAATCATAACAACTTGGGACAATCAAAAGGAGAATGCTAACTTCTGAGAGGAAAGCCCTGGACATTCTGGGTAGGTGTTTGGCACCCAAAATTTCACTGAAGAAGAATGCTGCTTCTTAGTATCAGACCAAAGTGCAAAGCATTATAAATTAGAGGCCAAGTCTTCTCTTGACGGTCGATTTACTTCTGTAAAACAGACTGTTATGCCCCTTTATATGAACAATTTACATCTGAAGCATTAGATTTTTTTTTCACGGGTGGGGGTAGGAAGTGGGCTTCTGTCTACTGGAAGTCAGTGAAGCTAAAGTATCCTTCTCATAGTAGAGCCGGGATCAGAGGTGAGAAATGTCGGTACTTGAAGAGTCAGGCTGCTTTGCATCTACCCAGCGTCTAGAACCAATTCCAGCTCCATAACTTAGCTGTGAATGAACTCCCTTAGGCATTTGGTAGCCATGTAGCCAGTAGTTCAAGACTAGGAAACCCTAGGGGAAAGGGGGAGAGAGCATGGATGTTTACTGTTGTTAAACAAGGATACACTGTATATGTCACAGTCTAGCACATCCACAAAGTCACATATCACAGAAATACACATCTAACAGATGACTACTTCTTAAATAACCATCACAAAAAATAGAAACTGCAAGTTGTTTTGAAGCACCACATTTATTTAAACTTCACAACAATGCTAAGAGGTAGAAACTAATAATATGCTTACTTCACAAGTAAGAGAACTAAGGGTCAAAAAGGTTGTGTTTAATTCAAAGCGTTACCAATTAAGTGACAGGGATTCAAAGAGAGGGACCCAATAACTTGTCATCCTTCACTACTGTTACTAAAAATATACATATCAGAAATATTTAACACTAGGTTTCATATTTAGTATAATCGTGATGATATTCAGGGCCTATGACAGGCCCACCACATATTCTCAGGAGAGCTCTCAACTATCTCTGTGAAATGAAAGCATGCAAAAGAAACAAACTATCCCTTCTAAGTAAAATGTTAATACTGTCATCAGAAATTACTTTTTAAAATCAGTTATTTGTGGGCTGGGAATTTAGCTCAGTGGCATTGTGCCTACCTCACAAGCACAAGGTCCTGAGTTCAAGAACCAGTACCAAAAATATGTATATATCAATCATTTGTGAAAGGCCAACAGTACTGAGAATATGGGGAAAACTATGGAAAGTTCCATATTTTAAGTATGGCCTTGATCCGAAATACATTTTAATCACAATCTCTACCTTCATCCATGGATGTAAATATGTAAACACACACACCCCTAAAATAGAACATTCAGCAGACAATGTTTATATTACTATGAACAATGTGAGCCGACATTTCTGATGTAAATCAAAACAAAGTCAAAATCCATTCCAGTTATTTCACAATCACTGATGGGTCACAGCCCCTTCCAAACACTGCATTAAGCCATTAGCTGAGAAGATCTAGTCACCTTAGGTGTAAATTCCTATGGGAGAAGAAACCTTGAAAAATTGTGTATAGCTAGGCATGGTGGTGCACATCTGTACTCCCAGCATTCAGGAGGCTGAGGCAGGAGGACTGCCATGAGTTTGAAGCCAGCCTGGGATACCCAGTGAGCTCAAGACCAGCCTGATTTACAAAATGAGACCCTGTCTCAAAAAAAAAAAAAATGCGTGTGATTTTTATTTGTTCAGGATTTTTGTTTGTTTGGGGGTGTTTTGTTTTGTTTTCTTTTCTTTTTTGAGACAGGTCTCACTCCGTAGATCAGTCTGGCCTCAAACTCACAGTGCTTCAGCCTCAAACTGCTTCAGCCTCCCGATGCTCAGATTACAGGCGTGCACCACCACACCTGGCTTAAAATTCTGTATGATTTTTAAAAGGCAACTTTCCCAAAAGGTTGTCTGTCATTTTTGTAAAGATCAAGAATCCTAAAACACTTCCTCAATAAATTTAAGAAGGACTAAATTTCACTCACCACTTCTTTCTCATTAAGGATATTTAAGATTACTTGAATTATTTTGAAAATACCGATGCCCCAGAGGTAAGAACTGGGCACTCCCAATACTGCTGGTGGGGGTCAATGGGGCTGATGTAACTCTTCTGGAGAGCAGCACAACCAGCACACCAAGCTGTTGGTGTGAGGTCTTCTAACCCACTCATTCCCAACAGCTCCAAAATCCCATCCAAAGGGAATAAAGTTTGGGGCAAAGATTAGGCAAGATGAATGATCATGGTACTGCCTTGTATAATCGTTAAAAGCTGGAAAGAGGGAAACCATAAATATCTAACAACAGGGCTTATCCCAAACAATTGAACAACATTTGGCAATTAGGAATTATAATTTAGACAAATATTGACACTACTAACATGTAACAATTTTACAGTGAAGAGGGAGGAAAAGGGCATTTTTTAAAAGTAGTTATAAACCACACTTTTAAAGAGGCTGGCATGATATACACCAAAGTTAACAGTGGTGAACCGCGAGTAGTTTACTTTTTTCTCTTGGTTTATGTACCGTTCTAATTTCCTTATCATCTTATAACAAGGAAGAGGAAAAAAAAAATCTGTGCTACTATATATACAACTATTAGGAGTTAGTAATTTTTTGTAAAAGATGACTTGGCAAACAAATCTATTAACTGTATTCAATGAGAAAAAAATACATATATTAACTGTATTTCCAAACAAATTGTCTTACCTGATAATTTTAGGGGTATTTTACTACAAGGTTAAATTGTCATTAGGGAAGTGTTTCTTATTATGCATAAGTCTTAAATAATCATATGGTGGGACCAGGGATTTAGCTCAACGATTCCACCACCTGCCTTGCAAATGCAAAGCCCAAGTTCAATCCCCGGTACAAAAAAATCACATGGTGATAACTGTTTCATGTTTCAATCAAAGAAAAGAATTTGGAAAAGAACAATAAAATCTGTAAGGTTGACTGCCAAGGTTGTCAAAAGTAACTCACTTTAAGGGCTGGCTATGTTAGCTCAGTGGTTCCAATGCCTGGCTTGCAAGCACAAGAATCTGAGTTCAATCACCAGTACCAAAAAAAAAAAACCCAAAAAAAAAAACGAAAAGTAACTCACTTTGCAGAAACAAACACATTTGGGGTTTCACTGCTTGTGCTGGGGTACAGGAAATGATTACTTTATAAAGCAAGTAAGCTTTGAAAGATTAATTAAGGTTGACTTATAACTGTAGACCATAACAAGGTACTTGCTGTTAGGTTCCAAAAAAGGAGATGGGAGAAGCATCTGAAAGAAGTAACATAAATTTCATTTCTACCACAGCCAAGAAGTAACAGTGGTAATCACTGCCTCATCCCTCAACCAAAAGAACCTTGTTCCAGGGCACCTGGAGATAATATGCAAATGTTGTCAGTCTGTGAAAGTTTACTAAGTCTATAAATTGCCTCTTAAGCATAACTGAAATGTGTATGAATGTCTCAGATATCACACCATATGCCTTTTTAATAAAGTACAAGACAAAAACATATTTATACAAATACAAACAAAAGATACAATTAAATTGTTCCATGACACACCTACTTCCAAGTCTATTCATTTCAGAAGTCCAACTATAGCTGGGATTGTCCATGTTCTCTACCTTATGTGCATCTCTTATAATCTGTGTTCTTATGTTCTATTTCTATTTTATGTGGCAAAATAAAAGCAGGAGCAAGATGTATCTGAAGCAATGCACAGAGGAAAATGTATAGTTTTAAGTTCCCATTAGAAAAGAAAAAGTTAAGAGTGGAATCAATAGAATAAAGCATGTCCAAGACTGCTACAAGAAAAACTGCAAAACAATGCTTTAAGTAAAGGTGAAGATGTAAATCAGAGATATATGTATGTTTACACATTGTAACACTCAACAATTGCTGAGATACAAATTATTCCCAAAATGATCTTTAGATTCAATATGGTCTTGATCATAATCCAAGCAGCCATCTTCCTAGAATATGATAACCCATTACAAAAAAATAATGTAAAGACCTAAAATAATCAAAACAAATTTTTAAGAAGAGCAATCAAATCGTCCCATCACCAATGTTATAACAGCTTAGAGCCCAGGACTTGCTTCTCAGGCTACCTAATGAGTCTCTTGTATGAAGGGGCTTTAGGTGCCTTCTTAGCAAACAGCCTTTTTTGATTCATCCTTGAGGGAATAGTGGTGGTCCAAAGAAGAGATTTTGAGTGTTTTGGTGGTGGTGGGGATTATGGTTTTTGTTTTTTCAACTAAAAAAAAAAAAAGAACCTGAAAGACAAGAAAGAAGAGGAGGAGATTCTTATGCCCAAAATAAAATTCAAGAGACTTTACTGGTGCTAAATTAACGTGATTGGGGAAATTCTTTAGGAAAATATTTTTTAAAAACAGGAACCACATTCACCAGCGGTCAATATGGAAATCTACAATATCCAGGATTCCAATTTTAGATCTTTACTGATGTGACTATAAAGGTCTAGCTTTATATCAGACCCCTGCAAAAGTTGGCACATTAGTAGGAACCTCAGTTCATGTCACATGGGAACCCAAATCACAAAATTTGCCCAACAGGAAGAATTCAGTTAGCAGAATTAAGAATACTCACCTGAAAAGGGTGAAAGTGCAGACTGTTATCTGGAGATGTAAGTGTATGTTCTGGAGGGAGAACGTGTCTCATTCTGGGCACTAGGAGGCACATTTAAGAAATCCCAAATCAAAATAGTGTCATCATGGGAGCTGCTGATGATTTGAAACTCATCAAACTGTAGTCGAAACACACGACCAGAATGTTCCTACAAAACAGAACGACTTAATGAATAAAATAAGATCTTTACGATTCCTCACATCTCACAATGAAAACAACACAAGCTGAAAACAGAGTGTCTCATCCAGGCATCTATATAATTTTCCAAAGCTTATTAAGCTTTGGCCTTTACCCTAAAAACAAATTCTTGTATTTTCCTTCTCTATTTTTCTTTCATTCAACTTTGTATCTCAGATCCTGGCCCCATTTAATATGCCAAAGAAGAAAAATTATGTGAGCATCTCAAAACAGGCCCTAGAATTCTAAGGTAAACAAAATTTAACACTACTGTTGATATGCCATAAAAACTAGAACCAGAAAAATAGGTTTTGGGTTTTTTTTGACATAATCAAGAATCTCCATCTCAAACCAGAGCCATACCAAAATTCATAGTGAAACATTACCATTAAAATCAAGAAGAAAACAAGAATAGCCTCACAAGCGCAAGGTCCCGGGTTTGATCCCCAATACCAAAAATAAAAAATAAAAACAAAAAAGAAAACAAGAATGGCCCTAACCACAATTCTACATGTCCTAGCCAAAGCCAGAAGTAAAGAAATAGAAATAAAAGATAAAACTACAGAAAATAAGAACCAAGACAGAGTATGTAAAGGTGCAAATTTCCAATGATGAATGTCATTATGTTACATACCTAAAATGTATGAATAAAGTTTTAAAAAGATAAAACTACAAAAAATAAGAAAAATCTATCACTATATTCAGATGTCTGTCTCTTCAAAAATACAACAGGATCAATTTGACTATCAGAAATAATTACTGAAAGCTCTAAAAGGTTCACCATCACTGACACAGTCATTGATGGTCATATTAAGAAATCTCCCAAGGAAGAAAGGAAGGAAAGAAATGTTGCATGCTCCGTCAAAACACCAGTTCACCTGCAAAAGAGGGAGCCTGCACTTACATGTAAGAAATCACGGTAATGCAAATGTCAGATATTCCCTGAACTGGGCTAAACAAAATTGACAATTTCTCTGAGGGCATGTGGTGAGATCCACAAGCCTTCTCAGCAGACATCAAGGCAGGGCCATTCCACAGGAAAGGCGGCCAGCTCCTGTTTTAACAGATCACTTACCACCAAGGTGCGCAAACACAATGTGCTTGCTGGGGCTCGAGGGTCAAGGGCAGCTTGCAAGTCCCAAACTTTAATTTTCCTAGAAAGGAAAATGAGACTGTGATTAGTGGAAAAGTTAACACTGTATATATCATCAAGCATTTCTTTGACAAAAAGAAGAACACATGAACTGCCTATTATAAAACTAGTAGACCACAGGCCTTTTTTGCTTGCTTTTGTTTTTGTGGGACAAATGTCTCACTTAGTAGTGCATGCTCACCTTGAATTCTATGTTGCCCAGGCCAGCCTGGAACTCCTGGTGATTCTTTTGCCTCAGCCCCCGGAGGGCTGAGATTGTAGGCATGCACCTCCACGCCCAGCTCAAGAAACTTATGTTTTTACAAATTTTTCAACCAATTATATTTGATTTTGGAAAAAATAAGAACCTAAACATTCTCAGAATTGCTAAAAATTTGAAGCATTACTGTAAGGGAGATAAAACAATTTTGTGTTTTATCTAAATTCAATCCCTAGCTTGATAACCTACGCCACTAAATGTATTAATCAGGAGACTCTCTGGAACTAAACTGGTGCTACTGACAGGAGCTAGTAATCTGTGTGAAATTCCAAGGATATCTTTCTCCAAAGGATGCAAGTGTGGAAAGTTAGTGATACAAGTAAAACAGACTAACTGATCTACTCATGGAGTACATATAAGATCATCTTGAAAGATTTACAACTGCCACTTGCTCCTTTAAAAATTCATGAGGTGTTTTAGAGGATTTGTTCACTTGACCCAAAGGGGAAAAGGAGAAATTTATTATTTAACACACCCACATGTGCGCACGTTTCCCCCCCCAACACACACACATGCACGGGCATGCGTCTGGTTTATTTAGAGCTAAGGCAAAGAACTGAATTTCTTCAGCCAAAGCTAATCCCTGAGTTCACAATGATAATTAAAACCTAAGCTTAGAAACTAGTGGCTCTGCTACTGTGTGATTTGGGGCAAGATTTACCTCATCTTTCTGGGCATGAGTGTCCTCACTTGATCAACTGGTATAATAATAAACATATAATAATAAATGCCATCCACCTTTCCATACAGTAAGTACCTATCATGAGGCTTGGCACACAGACAGCTACTTAAAATATAGCACTTCTTTTTCTTCTTGAAGTGGTTATGGCAGTGCATTTCAAAATCCGAAACACATACCCATCATAGGCACCGCTGACAATTCTCTTGTTATCAAACCGGATGCATCGGACCAACTCTTCATGTCCCTCTAGGACTCTTAAGCAGGCACCACATTCAATATCCCAAAGCCTTGAATGAAAAACAGACACCTGTGCAACAAATTCCCACACGAGTCACACGCACCTCGAGTTCTTCTGTCTGTTCTATTCAGAAAAGACTTTTTACTACCCGTGAGTTCTTTATCTCTATCTTACTTGGTCAATATTATACACAAAGATATATAAGGACACTTACATCATTTGTATCCTTTTTTTAGCACTAACTTAAAAGGAAACATCCTTTTCGATTTCCTTATATATACTCTGAAACTTTCTAAAATCCTGGGCATTTACTATTTAAACCAAATCAACAAGAAACTTCAACTATATGTAGCTCCTATGCATTCTCTTGATATCTGAGTTGATAAAACCATGTAGGGAAACAGAATTGGAAGTACTTTTGGGGAAGAGATGGCAACTGTAGGCAGTAAAGGAAAAATAGCATGAGTAGGGAAGGCAACAAACAGAAAATCCACATAGCCAGGAACTCTAGCACAGAGTCCATGAGGCCTCCTGAGGTTAGGACTAGTGGACCAAAATGTGGTCTCACAATCCTGATGACACCTTTTTCCCTTCATGTACTGTATTAGAGTCATCTTGAGAAGGAGACTCATTATGTATAGGCAGTACCTTGGAAATATAAACCTGTAGACTACATCGGGCTTTTTTCTCTTCATATAATTAATACAATGTTGGAGTTGGGAGATTTTTTTTTATTGATTTTATACATTATTTACAAATAGAATCACAGAAAACTAGCATGTACAAAACAGGGAACAAAATAAAATTATCACTGACTTTGAAGGTTTCTCCACCAGAACTGCCTATCACACATCCAATGAATACTCTCCTACCACAGCCCTCAGCAAATGTGCTTCAGAAGGTGAGGACTGCATCTCTGCTCCACTGTGAACAGAGCCAGTAGTTCCCTGCTGTAAACTGCAGAGCAATGCACATTATTATCTTGTAAAACCTCAGACACTGCAATGAGGAAGTTAAAGACTGTTTACTTATTAACCACTGAACCGTTTACCCAAGGACACTCAGGCTGTGCACTTGCATTTGTGTACCGACTATCAGGGAGCATCGCTCCAGCAGGTGTCACTTCAACCAGTCTTATATTGAATAAATTTGGTAAAATTGTCATTCTATTTCTTGTCATATTATCATTCAAAATTAATGGAAAAAAATGTGCAATTTCTGGTCATCCTGTATTTAAATAATCAGACTGGAAAATGGTTCAACATAACCACTTAAGCAATACCACAAAGCATGATGAATATGATAAAACCAAGATTTAAGCTCAAAACATTTATGTATCTTAAAACTTAAACTGATAAAGAAAACCTGCAATTTGATACAGTGTATAAATGCATACCATTATTATGTAAATTAAAAACACATGACTCAAAACAGAAAAAGATAGCAGTATAGCTTTTTTGTTTGCTTGTTTACCTTTAAAAAAAAATCTTGAACTTTATTTTACCTAGATTTTAGGCAGTTTGCTTTTAAGTTCCAAAATTAGCCACTTCTGTAAAGCTACTAGTATGTACTGGAATAGTGGAAAAAGTGATTTGAGATAATTAAATAGATAATTAAGGGATGTTCTTAATAAGACATAAAATGTCTACTGGGTATCTTTCCAAAAGAATTAAAAGAATCATGCCACAGTGATATATGCACACCAATGTTTATAGCGGCACAGTTTGGAACAGCTAAAACTTGGAAATAGCCCATTTGCCCATCAGTTGGAAACTGGATAAAGAAGATGCTGTTTTTCTATAAAACGGAATACTACTCAGCCATAAAGAATGAGAAATTAGAGTCATTCATAGGAAAATGAATACATATTGAGGATATACTCCTAAGTGAAATAAATAAGTCACACATGTATAAATACCGAATAGTTTCTCTGGTGTGAAAAATTATAATTGTACACAAGATCTTAATGGGATAATTAATAATGTGAAATAGGAAGAAAAGGGCTAAAGGTGTAGGGAAAGTGGGAAGGGTAGGGGAAAGGGAATAAGGGAAAAGAAAAAAATATGAGAAAATGGAAATAAAGTGTTTGTAAATGGGGAGGGGAGGAGGGGGTGAAGGGAGGGCATGGAAAGGGGAAAAAAATGAGAATGAAGACCTGTCATGTGAAGGCACAAGATCCCAGTAATGAATGCAACTGTATTGTATACCTAGATTGTACCAATAAACTCAATAAAAAGAAAAAAAAAAGATATAAAATGTCTGTCCCTAATCACATTTATTAAAAAGCAAAGGGACTGAGTGTCAGAAAGAGAAAAGGGAATTTATTTGTAAAACAAACAACCACCTGGAGAGGATGATTCTGCAGTGCAGTTTTGGGGGAGAGAAATCAAGTACACTGAATCTGTTAGGAGGGAGGTAGGGCTCACAGGTAAGGGAAAGCAGAGTGAGTTAGGCTGGAACAACCAGTCTATTCTGAGATGCGCTAGTACTAAGTGACCGTAGGTATAGCTGAAGTTATAAAACTGTGTGCTGGGGAATCCTAGAAGAACTCGCAGGGCATACGTAGCTAGCTGCCCACTTGAATATGTAGAGCCAAATAGATCTGTAAATGCACCTAAGCTTTTCTTATCTGAAGCATCCCATTTACTCTGAGTCATTCGAGCCTCAGCACTGGGAAATGGAATGCTATAGCAAAAGTAAGCCTGCCCTGTCAGCACACCAACTCGTACTCACCTGATGGTGTTATCTGACGATCCACTGACCACCAGACGGTCCCTATATTGGAGACAGGCAATGCCTCGCTTGTGCCCATTGAGAGTGCGCACAAATTCACAGGTACTCGTGCTCCAGACCTGCAGGACAAACAGCAATGTTCCTATGAATGAACATAGGAAAGTCTTCCCACAATTCACCTTTTAAAATGAGTACAATTTCTCAGAATGACCCTAATACATGATTATAAAATTCGGCCACTTCTAACTCAAATTTGGAGCTGGGGGACTGATTGAACAGTATAAAATTTTCTTGACTGCTGGGTGATAAAACTGGGCTGAAATACAGAAGGCAGTTGTGAAACCTCTGGACTTTAAGGTCTTCACAAAGAGAACATCTCCTGGATGGCTCAGATACTCACCTACCTGCAAGAAAGAGTTTGCACCACATTTTATGTTTTTACACAACTGACAGGTCAAACCCAACATAACTGATATTTTTTAAACCTCTACTTTTCAAAGCCTCTATCCAAGCAGTTTCTTGAACAGCTGCATTTATTCTGACATATCATTCCTAATATTACATATGTAGAATAAATAATCCCTTCTCTTATAAAATCATCTGCTAGACTTAGATGTCCACAGACTCAAAATATGATAAACTAAGGTCATACAAGCAACTTCAGTGTTGTGAATTATTATGCCAACTGCATTTCCAGTTGAATGGGATATTTACACCAAAAAAAAAAAAAAAAAAAAAAAAGAGGAAGTTGGACTGCCTACCTTATACCATATAATTCTAAGTACAAGAAAACATGGAAGTAAATCTTTTTAAATTGGAATCAGACAATGGTTTCTTAAATATTGCAAGAACAAAACAAAAAAAAAATTTTTTCTGGGAGGCTGAGGCAGGAAGATTGCAAGTTTGAGCCCAGCCTGGGCATCTTAGGCAAGACCCTTATCTTAAAAATAATTTAAAAAAATAAAAAGGGCTGGAGATGTAGCCCAGTCTGAAGGCTCTGGGTTCAACCCCCAATAATTAGTTAATTAATTGATTAATTATAAAAAGTGGAACAGCATTAAAATTAAAATCACTTATGCTTCAAAGGACACCATAAAGAAAGTGAAAAGAGGGGGATGGGAATTTAGCTCAGCGGTTCGGTGGCCTGCCTTGCAAGCGCAAGGACCCGAGTTCAATCCCTGGTACCGAAAAGAAAAAAAAAAAGTGAAAAGATACCCCTAAAGAATGAAAATAAAAATTGCAAATCATGTATCTAATCATGGACTTGTATCTAAAATGTTTTCAAAAACTTTACAACTCAACAATAAAAAAAGGAATTAGTCTATTTTTCAAGTGGGCAAAAGATTTCAATAGACATTTCTCCAAAGAAGGTATACTAATGACCAGTAAGCATATGAAAAGATGTTCAATATTATTAATAATTAGGGAATGTAAAGCAAAACCACAAAGAATACTCCCTCACATCCAATAAGATAGCTGTAATTTTTAAAGGCAGACAATAACAAGTATTGGCAATAATACAGCAAAATTAGTCAGGCTGATATTATGAAAGCTGTTTTGACTTCCAGGCACTGGTCTTGTACTAACCAGTGAGTGTGGGGTAAATTAATGCATACATATGCCAGCTGTTCTGCTTCCAGACTACCCAATCTAAATTTGGATGCAAAAGAGTCCGTGAGTTGTGAGGCTAGGCATCAGAATATTGTACAGTGTTGGTCCTTAAAAAAACGGTTCTTTGAGCAAGTTCAAACACTCATTATCACTGATAGGATTATAAATGGTGCACCCACTTTGGAAAACAGTTTGGCAGTTTCTCAAAATGTTAAACCCAGAGTTACCATCCCAAGAGAACTGAAAATAAACAAACATGCAAAAACTTGTACACAAATGTTTATAGCAGCATTACTTATAATAGCCAAAAATTGAAAACAATCAAAATGTATACTGAAAAATGAATAAACAAAATACAGCACATCAACACAATGGCTTTTATTTGGCCATTAGAAGGAATGAAGCACTGATGTGTGCTACAGTGTACATGAATGAGCCTCAAAAACATATGCTAAGGAGCTGCCTACCTGCCTGCCTGTCTGCGATCACCCGGCGGCGTGCGTGCGAGAGCTCCCGGCCTGCGCGGGAGCTCCCGGCCTGCGCGACAACAGACCCAGGAAGGACCCAAGGACCCCAGAGGGGGTTTTTTTC